TTCAAAAGAGCTTGTGGGCTTGCTGTAGAAAGACAGAGAGACAGTGAGAGGGAAAGTGAGAAATCACCCCCGCAGGGGGAAGGAGCCATGCTGCAGTCCCTTCTCCTCCATTCTCCTCTGGGGATTTTGGGCACACATGCAAATGCACCTGGCATGATTTTTAAGCTGCCAAGTCTGGGACTCAAACCACAGTCGGCTAAGTGGGAGTCTAGCATCTTAACCACCACATCACCTGCTGGCCTTAAGGAAAAGGTTTTAATGCAAAACCATGTAGCAGAAAAAGTAATGGATCAGGAATTCAGAAGGCACGGGTCTAAGGCCAGAGTTTATTGTCCTTAGATATTGGGCAAGTCACTTGCTCTCATATCTGACCCCCATTTCTGTATCCCATGGATGTTAATATTTGCCCTGCCTACTGCACAGAACCCGTGTACATGCTCTGTGAGTGCCATACAGAGATGGGAATTGATGTTCGACTGTATCTTTTCCAGATCATTTACCCAGAAATTTAAATTGGTCAGCGCTGGGACCAGCAGATGGCCTAATGGCTATGTCACTGGACTCCCATGTAGTCGACCGCTGTTTATTTTTTTAATTTTTAAAATTAGAAAAAAAAATTTTTTTCCATTGGGTACCACCACATGTGTTAACACATAAGAGAGAGAAAGAGAAAGCGCACAAGAAAGCGACCCCCTCATGTGGTGCATGGCCGTGCTGCAATCCCTTTTCCATTTCTCTTTTCAGGATTTTGGGCACACATGCACACGCTGCCAGTGTGTTGTTCAGGCTCCAGGGTCTGGGAGTGAACCATGTGGTTGGCCACGTGGGATGCAGTCGCCTCGGCTACCATGCCACTAGCTGGCCCTACTGTTTATTTTATGTCTGTCTTCCATGTTTTTTTTCATAAATAAGTCAGTGTTTATATTGAACATGTGTTGAAATTTTGCAAACTTTATTATGTAAGTAATATACATTAACTGTAATAAAAAGAAGACAGATGTGGAGAAGAAAATATCCTTAATTCTACCTACTATCCTGTAATAACTACTGTTTATTTTTTTAATTTTTAAAATTAGAAAAAAAATTTTTTTTCCATTGGGTACCACCACATGTGTTAACACATAAGAGAGAGAAAGAGAAAGCGCACAAGAAAGCGACCCCCTCATGTGGTGCATGGCCGTGCTGCAATCCCTTTTCCATTTCTCTTTTCAGGATTTTGGGCACACATGCACACGCTGCCAGTGTGTTGTTCAGGCTCCAGGGTCTGGGAGTGAACCATGTGGTTGGCCACGTGGGATGCAGTCGCCTCGGCTACCATGCCACTAGCTGGCCCTACTGTTTATTTTATGTCTGTCTTCCATGTTTTTTTTGTGCATGTATATTACAGAATATATGAGTGTTAATATTTGCCCTGCCTACTGCACAGAACCCGTGTACATGCTCTGTGAGTGCCATACAGAGATGGGAATTGATGTTCGACTGTATCTTTTCCAGATCATTTACCCAGAAATTTAAATTGGTCAGCGCTGGGACCAGCAGATGGCCTAATGGCTATGTCACTGGACTCCCATGTAGTCGACCGCTGTTTATTTTTTTAATTTTTAAAATTAGAAAAAAAAATTTTTTTCCATTGGGTACCACCACATGTGTTAACACATAAGAGAGAGAAAGAGAAAGCGCACAAGAAAGCGACCCCCTCATGTGGTGCATGGCCGTGCTGCAATCCCTTTTCCATTTCTCTTTTCAGGATTTTGGGCACACATGCACACGCTGCCAGTGTGTTGTTCAGGCTCCAGGGTCTGGGAGTGAACCATGTGGTTGGCCACGTGGGATGCAGTCGCCTCGGCTACCATGCCACTAGCTGGCCCTACTGTTTATTTTATGTCTGTCTTCCATGTTTTTTTTGTGCATGTATATTACAGAATATATGAGGGACCTTCACTAAGTTTATGGAAAAGGCATATTATGAAAAAAAAAAAACTGCAGAGATTTCAGAAAAATGTTTTAAGTTTATTCACTTATTTCTTCCATGACAGAGAGAGAAAGGGAGATGGACAAAGATCAGCACTGCCAACTGGCTTGCCATGCCATGGTCCACCCCCGGCCTCAGCAGGCCTGGATCATGAGCATGTGTGTGCTCACCCGGTGTGTACGGGGAGGCCTTGGGAAGCGAACCGAGGCCCTTCCATCGTGGGTCCAGTGCATTACTGCCGTACCACTCTCTGACCCCAGATCTCAAAATTTTAACGTGGTGAATTTTGTTGATGAATCTTATCTGCTGTATTTCAAATTGTGACAAAAACCTAAAAAGGTATTTAAAACTTTCTGAGGGCCAGCATGTGGCATAGTGGTTAAGATGCTGGGATTTCAAATTGTGACAAAAACTTAAAAAGGTGTTGAAAGCTTTCTGAGGGCCGGCATGTGGCATAGTGGTTAAGGTGCTGGACTTCCATATGGCTGACCACGGTTCAAGTCCTGGACCTAGTGGCCTGCTTTTTCACTTTCCCTCCCTCTCTCTGTTCAAATTATTAATTTAAAAATTATAATAGTAACAATGAATTAAGTTTAAAAATAATTCTTAAAAAAAGAAAAGAGCTTTCTGGGTATTCCTTTTTTTGAGAGATTTTTGCTATAGGGTGTGTGTGCTTGCTGGAGAGATACAGAGACAGCAAGACAGAGACAGAAACAGAAAGTGAGAAATTACCCCCTTGGGGGGAGGATGGCCATGCTGCAGTCCCTTTTCCTCCATTCTCCCCTTGGGATTTTGGGCACACATGTATACATGGCCAGATGTGAGTTTTAAGCCTCCAGGGCTCAAACCATGGTCAACTATGTGGGAGTCCAGAAACGTAACCATTATGTCATCTGCTGGTCCCCAAATTAAATAAATTAATTCTAAAAAGGAAAGAAAGAGTTTTCTAGGTTTTCCTTTTTTCTTTTTTTAATTCTAAAGCCAAACGTTAATAAACCTATCTAAATATCTCTGTGGGAAATCATAATGGAAGGAAATGGGAAATTAATATTCTGAAAGAAAGAAAATAATGGCTAGCCTTGTTGTGAACTTGAATCCGAGCTCCTGGAGACATGTTTCCGCCCTGCTGTGTTTTCCTCATCTGTCGGACAGGTAGCTGTGGGCAGGCTCTCCCTGGCTTGGCCGTGGCTCTGGCCCCAGGCTCGACTGCTGAAATGGCACAGGATCATCCTGCATCCTCGTTTACCGAGTGTCGTGGAACCTCTGTGGAGTTTCAGTCTGAGACCAGCAGTTTTGTATTCCTCTCACCTATCTTCTGTCTTTTAAACCGAATTGATGCACACCCATTCTTTCCTGCTTCATCGCAGTCAGTGGTTAGGAGGTCCGGGGTCCGGGGTCTGCATCTGGGGAAGGTGTTCTGGCTGAATCCCAGCGTGGCAGAGGGCAGGAGGCTGTGGGTATCCAGGTATCCTGTGTCTGTGGGTATCCGGGTAGTCCTTGACTTAGACTGCGTAACTCGGACGTGCAGCCAGGATGGGAGAGAGGGACAGCTGCTTCTCCACCTGGGGAACGGGGCAGCAGGGCTGGAAACAGCATTCCTGTCCGTCTTCATCGTTGTCTCAGTGCATTCCATCCAATGCCCACCTCTTTTTGACCCCTTAATCTTTCTGACCCACTTACTGTGGTGTTTTCTTCGGGGCTAGACGCTCACCTGTTGCTGTCATTCTTTTTACTCGATTCGGCTCTTTCCTCTGCAGGTTGCTGCAGCTGCACACCAAGGGCGACATGATTTGGAAAGTAGCCGTGTTACTCGGCGCAGTCCTGGGAACTGGTGCCATGTTCCTGGACGATCCTGAGGATGGAGGCAAGCACTGGGTGGTGATCGTCGCAGGCTCGAATGGCTGGTATAATTACAGGCACCAGGTGAGAAAGTGACTCATCTTGTTCTTTATGACACTGGCATTCCGTCAACAGCCCTGGCCATGATAATAGAAGAGACTTTTTGGAAAGCTGTGGAACCAGCCCGCTCTAGGCTGGCTAAGGTGTGTGTTACGAGGATGTGGAGGAGTAAGAACCCTCACATGCTGGAACAGCAGCTTCCTCGGCCTCTGCCTAATAAATGACAATGGCATCCCCCACCTCCCGTCACCACTCATAATGTCCCCAGACTTTGCCAGATGTCTCTATGGAGTAGAATTGCCCAGGTTGAGACCGACTGGCCTGACACTTTGCAGATAAGGGGCTGAGAGAGAGGAGGTGACTTGCTGAGCTCACGTGGCAAGTTGAGGCCAGCCAGGCCTGGCGCCCAGGGCCCGGGCAGAGCAGCCCCAGGCCTCTGCACCCTCCATGCCCCTGCCCACCGCACTCCGTGGTGACATGTCCCACCCCCATCTCCCTGGCATATCTGCTACATCAGCCTGTCAGGAGTCACCTGACCATGGGATGGAAGTACAGCCTCCTGGTGGGAATGTAAAATGGTATAGGCAATTAGGGAAGTGGTCTGGCATTTCTCCAGAAAGCTAAGCATCGTGTTATCCTGTGATCCTGTAAATGCCCAAAAGAAATGAAAACATCCAAGGGAACTTCTAAAAGTTCATGGAAAATGGAATTAAAGTTAAAAAAAAGATTTGATGCAAAAATGTTGAAATCTATACATAGTTTTTTTTTAATAATATGCATTTTCCATGAACTTTTTAAAGTCTCCGTGTATTTCTGCATGAGAACTTGCACATGTATATTCATAGCAGGATGATTATTTTTATTGTTTTAGTTTTGCTGTAGAACACATGCCCTCCCTAGAGAGAGAGAGAGAGGGAGAGAGAGAGAGAGAGAGAGAAGTCACCCCCAATGGGGAATGGCTACGCTGCAGTTCCTTCTCCGTTCTCCTCTTCGGACTTAGGGCATGCATGCACCTGTGCCTCGTGTGATTTTCAAGCTGTTGGCTCTGGGACTTGAATTGTTATAGCAGGATTATTCAAAATAACCAAAAAGTGGATAGAGTCCATCTGCCCATCAGCTGATGGCTGAATAAACAAAATGTATACTCATGTGAGGGGATATTTGACCATGAAGAGTGAAAATCACGTGCTTCAACAGGGGTGACCTTACACACATGCTAAGTAGAAGCAGCTAGGTACAAAGCCACATATTTTACCATTCCACTTACGTGAAAGTCGAAATTAGGGACACCAGTAGACATAGAAAGTCGATCCGTTGCTGGGGCTGGGCTGCCGAAGGGTTTGAGGAGTGAAAATATTCTGGGATGAGATAGTGGGGATGTTGTGCAACTTGGTGAATATACTGGAAACCACCAAACTCTGTGCTTGAAAAGACACATGTATATGGCATGTGGGTTGTAGGGTAATAGGCTGCTTTTGTTAAGAAGTCACTTAATCTTTACATTCTCAGCAATAAGACGCTTAGGCTAACGCAGCATCTGTGTGCCAAGAGCACTTCGCACAAATGAACCCTGAACCCCTGGCCGTGGGGTCCAGTGCTCATGTCCTCCTTATGAGCGATTGCACTGAGGTGTGGGCAGGGTCAGCAGTTAGCCCAACGTGGCATGGCTGGCAAGTGGTAGGCCCAGTCGCAAACCCAGGCTCGTGAGCGCTAGAGCAGTCCTGTCCAATAGGAGAGCTGCATATGTGTCCTGGCTACTTTCTAGTAGCCACATTTTGTGTTTTTATTTTCCTTTTTTTAATTGCCAGAGGCATGTGGGCTCACTGGAAAGACAGATGGACAGAGAGGGAGAAAGCACCCCCCCAAATGGGGCATGCCCACTCTACAATCCCTTCTTGCCCATTTCTCCATCTTGTCAGGATTTCAGGCATACACACACATGCCCCAATGTTTTTCAGGCTGCTGGGGCCAGGATTCGAACCACGGTCAGCCATACTGGATGTTGTTCTCTTAACCTGTAGGCTATGAGCCAGTCCTAGGAGCCCCAGCTCGAAAACTAAAAATAAACAAAAAGCAGATGAAATTAATTTTGATATCCTCTTTAAACCAGTATGTTTAAACCATTATTTCGACATGTGATCAGTATAAAAGGTGAATAGTGAGATACTCGTGTGTGTGTGTGTGTGTGTGTGTGTGGGTGGGTGGGTGGGTGGGGGTGTGTGCGCTAAGTCATTAAACTCAGTACTTATTTATTTATTTTTTTAAACTCAGTGCCTATTGACATACAGCTCGGACTCGTGGCTGTGTGTGGCCAATGGCTATGTGTCGGCTGGGGGGGGGGGGGGG